AGTCTCAATACTGCGTGGTGAAGTTACTACGTTTGGGTGAAAATTTCTTAGAACAGCTTGCAGCAGTTCTACCTATTTTAACGTCTTTCGGTGAGGCTTTATTCACAGAGGTACTGGTATCTAAATCGGTTCCTAGTTCCATTGGCAGGCGTGGTTGTTGTGTAGTTTGATGAATGCTACTGTCAGTACTAGGTAACTGTTGCTGTACACGATCCACTTTTGGTAAATTCAAACCAGAGGTGACCAGATTATTACTACGCATTATTCTGCGCTGACACGGTGTTCCATCCTGAGCTATGGTTACATATTTATAACTGCTATTCAGTCTTAAGTGATCCTGACATTTAGTAAACTTACTAGCATCAAGGGAATTACTGAACTTAAAAATGACAATTAGCCTGGTTAGACTTTTACGAAGTCTTCTGCATTCACATGGAACACTAGCCATGCCGCAACAACCGAGGATCTTTTTTATGGTCTTCAGAAGCATTGAATCTGGGATGTTGTAATTTATAGCCTGGTGAGAAGAGGTTATGCGCTTCGTCACCTCCGCAGCCAAGCAGTCAATCAGATTTTCGGCTTTATTTTAGTTGTCTCGAGACATTTTGGATGTTTTCTTATAGACAGGCTATTAGGTCTAAATCCGCAAGCTTGTTTTGAGTTACATCCAGTAGAGACTTAACCTGGCCAAATCAGAATGGCTCTCCGTGATATTTGAGATTGGCAGCGACATGATATCAAACTGACCTAGTTTTTCCCGAAGTTCACTTATTTGCCTCTGGATATCTTTCACTAGGCTATTTATTTTAAAGAACTAAGAGTTCCCTACCAGAACATCTTTGACTAATATCACAGGAGGGAGAACTGCTCCCAAGCCATTATGTGAGCTAGCAGTTGATACTGCATTACATGGAGGTGATGGAGCTATAACCAAGGTTGAGCCACTACCTAAAACAATTGTGTTTCTGCATTCACGCTTTTTTATAAATTTGGACCATAATTTTAAGGATTATATATCAGTAAGCAACAAATGAACATAAGCGAAAGCACATGCAAAAATATCACCAATTTCGACTGTACCAAGAGTGCAAATTATTTTTTGCTGGAATTGGATGGACAAAATAAAACAACCTGCGAATGCCTTCGGAAAGCCAGTCAGCTGATGTGTATTCTGTCGATGAAAGCAAAAGTAACGATTGGGAAGTGAAATGTTCGTGCAGTATAAGAAGCTGCCCAGGTAAACAAAGAAATGAGAAGATTAGGGGGAATGGATGTGGATTGTCCAAATTACCAAATGAAGAGTTAATAATCTACTCCAGGAACCCAGACGAATGCAGTTAGCACGCTGATACAGTGGCCGTCATGATGTCACATATAGCACCACAAGTCATCATGCAATGAGAATCGATCTCACCAAGGATAACCACTGCGAGTTTCAATTTAAAAAGAAGGAGAATGAAAATCACTTAATGCTGCGCGCCTACAAACAATGTAGACCAAGTTGAGAATTAGGATGATTTCTACGGACGAACACAAACAATAGTGGACAACATCCCGAATGTCGACGGCGAAATCCTTATGGGGCAATAGGAATGCTAAACTGGGGCGGACAATACAGGAAGAGAACTCATCATGGGTTGAGGGGCTCTCGGCGAAATGAATGAGAACGGGGAACTCTCCACGGACTTCTGCGCCTTCAGTGATTTGGCCATTGGAGGCAGCGAGAAAAAGCATGAGGATGTACTAAAGACAATGTGGATTTTTACCTGACGCACACACAGCAAAACAGGTAGACTTCATCTCAATGCTGCTCAAGGAAGTGGAGACGCAGTCTACTGGACTCACAGTCAGGAAGGGGGGCAGATGTGGGCTCAGACCACATTCAGGGGCAAGATAAAAGTACCTGAAGCGACTGGGGACAAACCACAATCCAAGTTCATAACTGAGAAGCTGAAGGACGAAACTGCAAAGGACACCGTCGTTGTAGCCATCAATGGGAAGTTGGAGACATAACGAAGCGTCACCGAAGAAACCTGTATGGGAGGACATTGGAACTCCTTGAAGGTGATGTTCGAGGAGACGTGTACAACCGCTTCAGGAAGAAAGAAGAGGTGAGACAATGAATGGCTGTCTACGGACACGTGTAAGCTAATGGAAGAGATGAAGATAGTGAAACAGAAGGTGAACCGATGCAAAGATGGACAAGAGAAGGAGAAGCTGAGATCAATTTACATCTCACTGAGCGAAGAGTTAATTAAAAGTGCTAGGAAAGACGAAAGGAAATTCTGTGACACACCGTCAACTGAAGCAGAAAAGGCCGCAGGCAAGAGAGACCTCAGAACATCATGTCAGATAACCAGCTCTCTATCCAGGAAGATATAAACATGGATGAAATCAGTGAAAGATGATCAAGCGGACCTAACTAGCAAAGAAGAGAGACAAATGAAACAGTGGACTGACTACCTAAAAGTAATCCTGAATTGGCCGGCACCTGCAAATCGTCCGGATTCACCAGTGGGTACTAATTCTCTGACGAAGGCAGAATTCTAGGATGCAATCGAGCTACCGAAGTCCTGGAAGGCAACAGGACGAGACGGAATCCCCCCTGAAGCACTGAAAACAGACCCAGAGACCTCAGTGTATGTGCTCACGCTACTTTTATAGGATGTTTGGAATGAAGGGAAGGTGCCCAATGATTGGTAGAAAGGTTACTCTGTGAAACTACCAAAGCAGGGCGACTTAGGCTTCTGCAGGAGCTGGCTCGGAATCATGTCCTTGTTCATGTCAAGCATAATACCAGGTTACGACATCCAAGAGAGAATAAAAATTGCACTGGGTGCAGGACTCCGTCCCTGGAACAGGCTGGATTCAGGAAAGGCAAATCATGTGCTGATCAAATTCTAGCCCTATTCATCATCGTTGAACAAATCATAGGATGGCAATCTAATTTCTGCATCGCTTTCGTCGATTTCCGAAAAGGCCTTCGACAGAGTTGACCACGAAGTAATTTGGGAACTACTTCAACATATCCGTATACTCTGAATCTTCATCAACCTCATTCAGCAGCTATGAGACAATGCTATGTGCAGAGTGATCCAAAACGGGAAAACTCAGAGAAGTGTTTGGAGTGAATACAGGAGTAAGAGTTGGAGTAGACTGGATTATGCGTCAAGCTGTGCATTGGAGTGAGAAGACAGTAATACTTCGGACCGGGACGAAAACTGGAGGGTCTGTATTTCGCGGATGACTTGTGTCTAGCGTCACGCAAACTCGAAGATCTGAGGGCAAAACCAACAAAATGGCTGAGGAAACAGTGAGGACTGGACTTCAGACGAACACAGAGAAGACGGAAGTGATGAAGATAACTGTCAAACAACAACGACAGGTGTCAATTACTATTGAAGGAATTACCTTCCTTCACCTATCTAGGAAGAATCGTTTAAACTACAGGCGTAACCGATGAGGACGTCAGAACCAGAATCGGAAAGGCAAAATAGACCTTCAACAACATGAATTCAATTAGGAACTCCTCTGCACTCGTCACAGAGTAAAACATTTGGGTTTGCAATACTAATATTTAGCCCCTCAGTTCTTTCATCTAGGTCAGACATTTGACGCGTCACGAAATCATTTCAAACACCCTGCTGCAGACTTTCTTCAAAATCTGCCTTTATATTTTGTGGAGACTCTTCAAAACTTTCCGAATCGACGTTGCACACAAACGAAGAAAATCACTTCACTCAGCACTATGTCAACCAAAAGAAAACAACGAAAGAAGACAAAACCAACGTCATCCACAAAATAAATGGCAACGACTCACATAAACACTACATTGGCCAAAGTGGACACCTGCTTCGTCTTCACATCGACGAACGTAATATAGCCGTCAAAAGACATGATATCCACTCCCTCGCTCATATCGCTGCATACAGGCAACCATGGACATCAATTCGACTGGGACAACGTTTAAATATTAGACAGAGGAAACACCAAGAATGCCAGAGAAATTTTAGAAGCCTGGCATTCTAGTGAATCAGGAATTAACAGGCACATTGACATAGATAAAATTTACCAATCGATAAGACGGAAATCTCTCACACACAGAGGGTGAAACTTCAGGTCAAGGAAACAATGAATACCAATAGAAGTAGCCTAGAGGGTGTGAAAACAGGCAAGAGCTGCCATTCACGTCAGTTTACAGGTATCATCAATTCCATAAATTACACATACGATTAGTAAGTATAGTTAGTAATGATAGTGTAATAAGGTACATATTTATTCCTACAAATGTAGGACACACAAGTTGTATAGGCATGGATAAGTATTATTTAACTAAGTATTATAAACTAGTGGAGCAATTCTAAAAGCTCACTCCGAATTGAAGAATGCACTGAATATGTTGTCTAGTAGGGCGATAAAAGCTTCGCAAATAAACCATCCACCTCAGAGAACACAACTACATCAAAAACAACTGTCTTTGCTGCACTCTGAACGGCAGATGGCCAGAGAGTATTGGCAACAAGAATCTCTGGAAACGAAGCGATCAAGAACCAGCTGCTGACTAAATATTCTGAATTTAATGTGGATAGATTTGATACACTCCTGGAAGACCGTTGTGTCGAATTTCGGCCCAAGCTAAAACTTGGGTGGAACGATAAACACAAGGACGTGTTGGGTATTTAAGTATTTCATGGATACGATCGTGTTTTGCGGAAATGAAATATTACAGCAATTCCCGAGACTGGCTGAAGGGAACTGCAGAGAACACGAGTAAGTAAGTGCTTGCTCTCTGGACACCATGTTCTGCTCAGAACCCAAGGAATTATAATAAGTGATAATATCTACCTTCCGTTTCAGTATAGAATCAAATGATATTTTATGTATTTAGATTTCAGACAGATTATTTTAATCATTTTTGGTCAAAATTTCGAAAAATTACCTTCATGCGATCAAAGCCTTTAGTAAAAGAATTGTTTAAAACAATTCCTCGTTTCTTTGGGATGTGAAAATATAAGCGTTTGAAAGGCGGTTTATCCATTTTCAAGGTCACGGTGGGTTCAAGCGTCTACTAGTTATATGTTTTCATGAATTTGTTTACCATCGAAATTTTAATGTGTTTTTGGATGTTTTACATATTTTAAAGGTAACAGTTAGGAATAGAAACCAAAGTCAAATGACATTGAATCTGCCAATCATATACTTCCATGTGAAAAGTGGCATTTAAAAAAAGTGTATTTAGAGGCATATCTGTAGTGAAACTGAATTATGCAGTGTATATATCTCTATTGTGCTGTAAAAACGTCCCAGTTTCTCATAGGAGTGTCCGTAGACATATCAAACCGATGTCGATACATAAAGTGGTTACATTTCATATCGGGAGCCATTTACTATCATGAGACGTTTTTCTGGATGGACACGGATTCCTTCAATATAATTTGTATGAGTTCCAATTATAGGATTTAGTAATTCAGAAGTATGGTTGACTTTATGATAAACATAGTTTAATGATGATGATTGTGAATAACCTTCCCACCCGAGTGCATGAATGGCGGTTCCTAGTCGTTGTATCATTCGTATTAATACATCTGGGTGACACTTGCAACGAAAATTATGAACAGCATCCACGTGTAATGCCGAGCCATCTTATTGGTGGACTCAAGGGCATTTGACTCTGGTATCTATTCTTTACTGTTGCCATTTTAAAGTGTTGAGGTCAATTTTTGTCGCTGGATGCTACTATGAAGCTTACTTTTAGTCTGAATTCTACAGTTATTAAGTTAAATACCAATTGGTATTTAAGGATTATGGTAAACCTGCAATCATTGAGCTAACTCACGTATGCTAATATATTAAGGTGTTCACAGCACAATGAAATTTAATTGCAGTCTCTTAAGCTTACTACAATGTTGAATTAAACCTTGCTAATTCTGAACTAACTGTGACATTCTTTAGTAATTTAACTCCGAAACTGTTCTGCGATTGTTTGATTATTTGCACAAACTGGAACTGTAAGCTGGTTTATCAGCATGACTGGCACTAATTCAGCACCCTGCTCTTCTACGCCTTTTCAGAAGTAGCTTATCAGCCTTATTTCAGCTCTCCTAGCCCAGGTTCAGCATCCATTATCCTTTTCAAGAAGGACCAGGGTTATTTCAGCACATACTGGGTTGATTTCAATTACATAAAATATTCATTTATCGTATAAACGCATTATTGACGCGTTGGTTAGATTTTATTTAGAATTGTTGTAAGGTCACTCTTTTAAGCGTTACTACGGTATGTGATCGATCGTATTAGTCACCATTACTCGGGATATGCTACGAACCAGTAATCTTCTGCTGATACAAACGGAAACAATAAGGTAATACAAACAAGCATCTATCATACCTACGCGGTTTAGGTAACTCCAAAACCTTTAGCAATATATTCTGAATTGTTAACCTACCTATCACAACTGCGCGTGTGCCATTCGGTACAACCACTTTTAAACACGTTGATTTGGGAACTTTTCGTTATCCTCTTTAATGAGAATGGAATTTACCTTCCTTCTGAACGCCTGGCATACATGGAAAAGACATAAAACAATGCTGCATCTAGGAATTCCTCCTTTAGAGCGTTCATCTGTGCAGTTGCACAGTCGACATTGAATGGTACTGTTTTTGATGTATCACTCATAGATCTCTTAAACGTTTGCACTATCTCCTTGATATCTGCAAGCCTTTGCCTTCTAGTAAGAGCAAATAAGACAGTCCTTCCTCTTCCAAATCCATCAGTCACAACAAACTGACATAAAGGTCATCTGTAATCAATTTGGAGGTTACAACTTCTTATACTGCAATTTACTCCATCTTATTCGTTTTATAAGTACAATCAATTCCAACTACTTCTGGAAACTTATGATAGAGGTCTATCATATCAATACTAGCGAAAATGATTTCCGATACGAAACCTAAATTGTCATGCAGAACACTAACTGGACCTGTCTGCTTCAGTCGATGAAGAAAGTCTTGTAAACTACCGATTTCTCTTCAGCTGCCTCATTTATTTTGATACGACTTACGTTTATTTATCCTAGCCCGCATATTTTTAATGTCATCATCTAGGATAACTTTGCCGAATTTCTCATTCGCCAAATCCATGATTTCATGGGCATCAGTGTTCCTTTCAATAAACGGTTGCACAACTGTCATTTCCTTTGATGATAACCGACGTCTAGATACATCGGTAGAGATGAAACTTGCTGTGCATAAATGGTTATGCAGTTTGTTATCTTTTATCCTTCAGCCTTACTGTAATTGTTGACTGACATGAAATACTTTTGAACCTTAAATTTTTTAAAATCTATATGCATGGCCAGCTTACCCTTTGTTCCTAAAGCCAGCACTTTCAAAGGTGCCTTCACACCTCACAAACTTATATTCCATAGGGCCGGATGGGTCTTTTTTACTTGAAGCAACCCTGTAGGATGTGTTGGATTCCTTTCAAAGAAATAATGAACAATTTAGTTATTACCTTCATAAATGCGTCAAAAGCTTGCTTAAATTGCACTCGCGTATAAAATACACAACAAAGCAGTATTCTCCCGAGTAATAGCCGTTACATCAGACAATATAGATGACACATTTCGTGAAGTAGAGGCTGTATGAGTATTTTGTAGCATCATGTAATGGTTTTAACAATGATTAACGAGCACAACACTATAATTTCAAATAAATGAATAATAGCATATATTTCAGTGCTTGTATACTGTCGTGACCTAGTAAATTGTAGTTGAATTATATTCACCTAGTAAGCACAAATTACCTAGGTCACTGAACTGACAACTTAAAAAAGTGTATCAATTAAAATATACATATCCTATTCGAAGACAGATTAAATGTTTACAAATTGTAGTCGAATTATATTCACCAAGTAAACAAAATGCATAAGTCCTATTTCGGGACTTAAAATAAATGTCTCTAAATTATTGTTGAATTATATTCACCTAGTAGAAATTCTTATACATCTCAGTGTACTTTAAAAACCAATAATGAATCCAAATAGCATGTGACTCATCACACTACACTCATACCAAAAAAATTCACACGCCATTATAACATAGTAAGTCTTTAACTCGACTGCCTGTAACTTTCCGTGTGAAAATAAAAAAATACCGCTTTGACTTTTATTTTAGACAAATAGGAAGCCACAGCCAATCAAAATCTGTGTACGTCGATTGTTACATTTGTGAAAAGTTAGCTTGGTGTCAAGTAACTCAGTTCTCGCATAATTCAGTATTATTCAAAACTATATGTTTTCGTAGCCTTTTTATATTGAGATTTTCTCTAATTGCTGAGGTAACGGCGTACTACTTAAACTGGGCGAGAAGTTGCTGCACGTCTCTCCATGCAGAAACAACGTGTAACCCAGCATTCGTGCGAGTCGTGTAATAGGCTTGAACACTTCATGGAGCTATCGCTTTCCCCTGACATATTCCACCTTGATATAAACAATTCCCCCTAGAGGTCGAAGATGTATAAAGATCCACATCGTCACCATTGAAGAGAACCTAGTCTAAGGTTAAGTGGGAGTGCTGTGACTCATAACACTTAGACTTCTTGGACACGGTCTACTGGATTGGTAGATTCCTAGCAGATTCAAGTCAAAGAAAGTGTCTGAAGATGGCGTTGGAAGGTTCATCCAGTCAACTCATAAGGCATTAAAGTCGCCAACTCCAACACTTGGCTATCCATTAGACTTATCTCTACACTCATAAATCATCTGCATTGCAATCTGGACTGCGATACATTGCAATGAGTTCGGCATCTTGTCCTTTGCATTTTAGTCTCCAGTGAAGAAATTCGCATGATGTACTGTCGTGTGCGAGAGTTTCAATGCTATGTAAAGCTGGATACTTCTTGAGGTAAGTAACTTCTCCACTCCCTCTGTGGTTTAGTTAATCTTTTCTATGCACCGTGAAACTCTGAGGGTTAAGTTTACTGTCGCTGATTCTGTAGTGGCGATTACATCCAAGTCTTCAGAATCTACCATACTACCCAGCTCAGTCCACTTATTTAACAGTATTCTGGTGGGAAACAATTCAGCTTACTACTTTCACGTTCCACCTGCAGAGGTTTAAGAACCACCAAACTTTGAATTTTCAGTGCCCGAAAACCCTTATTAACAAGGTATTCCTCGTCATGCGCTTAACTCCAGTGCGATCTGCTAGGCATGAGTCAGCATAAATGTGAATTCCTGATACTATGAGTGTTTAGGCATTGCCTAGAATTGCATCCCTCTCAGCTTTGGAGTTTAATATGACTTTGAGAAGGTGAACGACTGACCTATTGTGGAGTCTGAGTCTGTGGCTGATTCAGTACAAGCTATGAATGGTTAAGCCCGTTACAATTTTTGTGAGTAGCTAGATCCACGTCGTGTTTGAACCTGGCTTTGGGTCTGACTCCTTGGTCTCCTACACATGATAGACAATAATCAACCTGTCGGCGAGATCATACTTACTTCGATTGGCTTTCTGCTTTGGAGCAGTGGTGTGGCGTCCTCATATCCTTCAAGGACAAGATGCCTTCTGTAGTGGTCGTGCCTCGCTTTTTGCGGGACTGAATCACGTCACTGACTGGTGCCCTCTTCACCATCTGGCTTTGGTGATGACTGCCTACCATCCATTTCTGCAGATTATGAGGCTAAATCTACTATTTCAATCACTTGTGCCGTAATTTTTACTGTGACAGTTGTTGACTTTAGTGGTTATACATACATCGCTGTATGTATAGTAATTGAAGTGTATATGTTATTTCATCATGCATTAATTCCCCTTAATATATTTCATTAAAGAAAAAACTAAGGTTTGTGCATAATTATGTGTTATCATCGTTTATTTAGTCAACTTGTAGTCAGCTGCGTATAGCTTAGAGAAATCATTAAATTTATGAATACATCAATCTTAGCATAGTTATAAATGTAACATGTCAGTTGACTAGAGACTCTAAAATTAATAAACTACTCAGAAATTATATATATATATATGCGCAGGAGGTAGAAGTGAAAAAAAGTGTGCCTAGATGCAGTGGCAAGAGTTACGAAATAAAAAGGTGGGTAAGATGAGTTCCTAATGTGTTAAGTGACAGTATGGTGAGTTCTGACTAACTGACTGGTTTCAGCGTAGAACTTTGCACAGGTGTGTAACAGTTCGAATCGCTACACTCAATATAGCACAAAGCAAGACAACAGTACAGAGGTTAAAAATAGAGAGACAGTAAACAGAAATGTGAGACAAAAAGAATAGTGATACGGAAGGACAATGGAGTTTTATTGGATATGATAAATGACAAAGAGTGAATGCATCTGCACCAGCCATTGAGAATGATGAGTTTAAACCATATCACCCACCAGTTGTCTCCAGCCACTGGTTTCTATCACCCCGAAGAACCCAACCGGAAAGTCTATACTTCCCTACATGGCCGCCTCAAACTAACTGTTGTGGATCTCGTTGACTAATGAAACCATGTTTTGGTTTGACCACTACTGGCTCTTTTACAGCCTGATCCTATGTCAGCTAACATTGTCCGTCGTCGAAGTAGGCGACGGCTAGGCGTGCGCAACACATGTCTTAAACATCTCAGTCGGTGTAACCTCACAACCTCGTCCATTGATTTCCCCTCCTTATGTAGCACTCGATGGCTAACCTCAATATTGCTCACCTTATTATACCACCTAACACGGGAGATAGAACGCAGACACCTATGATCAAAGACAGCTAGTCTTCCACTTTCAATGGCCAGGTCTCACAGCCATTAAGAACGAAGCGGACTGCTGAGCCGTACACCCGCCTATTGGTCGATAGCTGGATATCACATCTGCGCCAGAGACGGCGTAAACTGGCATATACGAAACTAGCCCTTTGTATCCGTGCTGAGATTTCGTCAGAGATCAACCCGTTGGCGTGAAAGTGCCCTACCACTTCACTCCCTATTTCTAATCTAGGAGTCTGTGTAGTCCAGTCCTGTAGCTTCATAATCTTACATTTGGAGGGAGCGAATCTCATGCCAAACATTCGCAGATTGCAGCTCAAGGTGTTCAGAAGACTCTGTATTTTGTCAGCGTCTTTACCTAGAAGGACTGTATCATCTGTATATTCTAAGTCAACGAGATTATTCCCAGGGGACAACTACTTGAGGTTGGTCACACACGGCCTGTCTGATCTGTCTCTTTGGTTTGGTTCGATATTAGTAACTTGCCGCCGGTTACGGAACATCATAGATGGGGTAAGTCAGGATGTACAACTTTTGAGGTCGACCTTTTCTAACTCCTCTCTAGAGTGGAGAGACAGCATAGCTGGCATGTTGGTTATCTGAGGCAAACGTCTTACTGCTGTTACACCCCTATTCCCCAGTAGTAGGACTTTGCCCACAGACCTCCAGCATAGTGCAACAAACCTTGAACTGTTCCGGTCACTACTTTTAGTCTAATCGCTATCCTATCAGTCTTCCTGGCGTGGTAGGACTTGCAGGAACATCAGTTGCAGCCAGTGTGGCTTATTGCATCATTGAGATATGGAAGCCCGACCACCACGTCAAGGTAGCGGCTATCGGTCGGGTAGTGAAATCAGCTCAAATTTAGAAACAGAGCAAGTGAAGTGGGCAAAGAGGTGAAACCCAAAGATAATGTAATCAGATGAAAGACAGGAAGAGTAAAGACACTCAACAGAGGGCAAGGAAAGGCCTGACCGCTTCTTTCTAAAGATACATTAAACGGCTTCCAGTAGTTAGAAAGCAGTTGCTTCGGCGAACTTGAGCGTAATTGAACTGTTTTGTCTGTTGATAATGTTGAAGAATTCACTAATAATAATATTCGCTCTATTCCAAACGACAATAATAATTGTACAAAAGGAAGTTTTCAGTGTCCACCTCATGACATGTATTGATGAGATGTTTGAAAATCTCACCATTGGAAGCGTTTATCGCCTTAGGATGTAGGCTTTCTGATACATGTTATTGTTATAATTATAATGATTATTTAAAAGATTAATTACTTATGCACATCTCTAGTTATTATTATTATTCGTTAAGTATTCATATACTTTTGCCGTTTATTGTACTTGTGATGTGATAGGTTAATTTGTTGTGCTGTCAAATCAGAATTATAATCAATATTTCAAAGGGTAAAGAATTCAGCAATTATCTTTTTACGCACATAAACGGGGGGACTGACGACTTTCTCGCCTGCTAATGACTGCTTACCCTACTGTATTGAAGGTAATTGCGTCTGTGCATCATCCATAACAATTACTGTTTTTGTTTGTGTAGTCTGATTTACAGCTTCCTACTGCTGGATTCATGGTCCATGTTGTTCAGCTAGAATTTTCTGACCATTTAGTGATCCTTATTTCACGTAATGGCAGGATTGGTGATATTGTATGACATTGTATATATATTACTATCATGATACTTGTATTCCGTTAGGTTTTGTCACAAAAAAATACTCTACCATCTATTAATGATCGTACTTCTCAAGACATTGATGCTCGTACTATTTTCGGTCCTGAAAAGGTAAGTGATATTCAGTTATTGTTGTTTTTGGAGATTTGTAAGTTTGACTTTATGCCGTGTTATCGAGTTTTGGTTTGCAGGGATTTGTTCGATGACAGGATTAATCATTAGCTGACATCAGCTATAGAACAACTAGATAACCAACGAGCACTTGACATCTGTTTTGTCCGCCTTGCAGTCAACGAGGTTCGAACCCAGGACCTTTCGATTTCAAGACGAGCTCGTGGACCATTCAGTGACTTGGACCTGATCCAATGGCCCATGAATTCCAACATCTGCCAATTAGGTCTGTTGCAGTTCCTGTGAAAAATTGCCATCAGAAGTCATTATCTATTAGTAGTAACGAATTAGTACTGTTAGTCATTGGTGGAATAAAATGTAACTAATTCAGTATCTTGTTTGCGTGTGTGACAACTCGAGATATTTCTCTCAACCTGGTGTCTGTCGCTGTCTGTCTGGATTCAACATAGAACTTGGCACCGAAGTGCAGCAGTTCGAGTTGCCACGTTCCAAATAGCACACAAAGGTAGACAAGAAGATGAATGAAGAGAATCAGTAGAGTTTTGAAAAGTATAAGAGTGAAACAGAATGAGTAATGGTAAAAGGAATATGAAAGATTACATAGACTGAATACATCTGCTCCATTGACAACGATTTTGAGCCATGTCACCTGTTGTCTCCAGCCATAGATTCTCAGAGTCCCGAGGGCCCCAACCCGGAAGTCTGCATCTCCCTACCTGACTCAGTTTGACTGTCAAGGATTTCATGGATTGATGCCATGTTTTTGTTTGGCCACCACTTACTCTTTTCCAACCTGCACCTAAATCAGCTATATATTTTTTTTATATTTTGATTACAGCTTGATGCCACACCTATTTTCAGTAAAAGTATGGCATTTTCAGCATGGATATCGGTAGCCCAAATTTCGCAGGCCGATCATAGATATCGGGTGTGCGTCGGTAGGGGATCGAACCCCGAACCATGTGCATGGTCGGCGAGAGTCCTAACCACTGTAATGCCTGTCGGGGGAGGCGATGGTTAGGCATGCGCAGCACGTGACCTAGCCATCTCAATCTATGTAACTTTATAGCCTCGTCGATTGATTTTCCCTCTTTGCCCAACACTCTACGCCTAACGTCAACATTACTTACCTTATACCACCTAACGCGAGAAAGAGATCGTAAACATCTGTGGTCAAAAACAGATAACGTTTTCATGTCTTCAACTCGTATTGGCCATGTTTCAGGGCCATAGAGAAGGACGGAGCGAACTGCTGAGCAGTACACATGTCCCTTGGTCGATAGCCGGATGTCACGCCTACGCCAGAGATGGTGTAAGTTAGCGAAAGCAGCCCGAGCTTTTTGGATCCGTGCTGAGATTTCGTCACCAATCAATCAATCCGTTGGTGCTGATACAACTTCCCAAATAGGTGAAGTGGTCAACATGTTCTATCACTTCACTCCCTATCACTAAGCTAGGAGTTGACGTAGTCCAGTCCTATAGCAGCATCTTACATTTTACAGGGGCGAATCGCATGCCAGACATACGAAGATTGCTGCTCAAGGTGTTCAGAAGACTGCATTTTGTCAACATCATACCCTAACAGGACTATGTCATCTGCATATTCTAAGTCCATAAGACTATTCCCTGGTAACAAGTTGATTCCTAAGTTGTTAAGTTCAGTTAAGGATACTTCCATTAGCATATTTATGATGAAGTTAAACAGAAAAGGGGAAAGTGGACATCCTTGACGGACACCACTGGTTGTTATCAATTCAAATGACAATTCCCCATAAGCCCTTACATGGCTACGTGAGTTTGAGTAGAGTGCCTTGATTAGTGCAATGTACTTTCTTGGCACTCCCTTCATAGTCAAACATTGCCGTAGTACCTTTCGATCCATGGAGTCGAAGGCCGCCTTCAAGTCAAGAAATATGGCAATTGTTGGATGCCTAAAAGTGTGTCTATGTTCTAGGATCTGTCTGAGAGTGAAGATATGATCTATGCACCCTCTACCTGGCCTAAAGCCTGCTTGATTTTCCCTCGTTTGTTCCTCCCGAGTTCGGCTTAGTCTGTGCATGATTACTGAGCCTAGGATTTTAGAGACTATGTTCGTCAGGCTGATCCCTCTATGATTATCATATGAGGACTTGTCTCCCTTCTTGAATATTGGTATAATAAGTGACTTACCCCAATCTGATGGAACCGTGTCTGATTCCCAGACGTTACCTAGTACCTTAGTTAATCTACATACTAGTATGTCACCTCCATATTTAAACACCTCCGGAATAATTCCGTCGGGTCCTGCCGCTTTGCCTCGTTTCAGATTACAGATAGCTTTTGTTACCTCACTTACAGACGGCGGGCTAGTGTCTATATCCCATTCAGGTGTGTGCTGGATGGCGGGGAGGCTCAGTGTGGCTGTAGGCAAGTTAAATTGTTCCTCAAAGTGTTCTTTCCAGCGTTCAAGGCGTCTATCCTGACAGCTAATTAAGGAGCCATTTTTCTCACAAATAGTCTCACTTATGATTTGCCTTCTCCCACCCGTTTCCCTGATTAGTCTAAAGAGTTGTCTAGTGTTGCCTATCGCCGATGCTTTTTCCATCTCTTTCGCCTTTGTCAACCACCACTGTTCACGGTCCTTGCGGAGACTTTTCGTAAATTTCCTTTTGTGCAGCTTTCGCTCCTCATTGAATTCGGTGCTCGCCGGAATAAGTCTTCTAGCATCTATCAGTTCGGATGAGGCAGTCGAAATCCAGTGGTTTTTACTCACCTTTGGATTTACCTTTTTCACAGCTTTTACAGCTGTATCTATGGCTGACTGAATATTCTTCCAGGCTTCTTCAGGGTGAGCACAGCTGTCGAACTCAGATATGTGTTTAGCTAGTTCTTCCTCAAATAGGGACTTAGTTTCCTGATCGAGCTGGGGACGTGATGGGTTTACCACCAGCTGTTTCCTACGTCCGTTCAGTCGTAAGCACACACGAGCGCGGACCAGTGCGTGATCGGTATCTACACACGTGTTCCAGAAGGAGCGACCATCTCCTACCGACCCACGCCAACGATAGCTTATTGCTATGTGGTCTATTTGTGTCCAGCGTTGGTTTGACGATGGGGGTCGCCAGGTCAAACAGTGTCTCTCCTTGTGTTTGAAGTTAGTGCTTACAAGAAACAAATGATTATCTGAACAGAACTGTAGGAGACGGTCACCGTTGTCGGTTCGCTGGCACGGAATTCCGTATGTGCCACCGACATTCTTCTCAGACTGACACAATTTCCCTACTTGAGTATTAAAGTCACCAGCTAGAACGACTATATCTGAGCGTTTAGCCTTTCGCAGCAAACTAGACAGCTTTTGGTAGAACTCATCCTTCGTTTCATCCGAACTGCAGTCAGTGGGGGCGTAGGCGGAGATTACGAAAAGGCATCGGCGAGTAGTGCAGTCCTTTCTCCTTTTCACTGATCCGTTCAGACGGACAGCACACATTCGGCTATCTACCGGGATCCAGTCAAGTAATATCTTTTCTGCCCTAGTACGCAAAGCTATCCCAACACCAGCTAATCCTCGTGAGCTAGCTGTGGCATCTTCTGACACCCCCAAGGTGAATTTTGCAGATTCATCCTGTTGGCCAGGTAGGGTTAGGTGAATAACCACACTTGGGTCTTGTATGCGTGTTTCTGAAACACAACATACATTAATGGCTCGGGATGCCAGAGTCTTGGCTAGTGATGCTTGTTGTCCTATTTGGCAAAGTGTCTTAACATTAAATGATCCTATATGAAATTGGTGGCGTGGCTTTAGGAGACTATCGGTGGTGGTTTTTTGGCTTCCGTCGTTTTTTGTGGACACAGAGTGAAGAGGAAGTGAAGAGCCATCAAGTAGAGGAGTTGCATCAGTAGAAGGAAGGCAAGATAATAGAGGTGAAGGTGAAGACAAAGATGAGTGAGGATTAGAGAGGCTTCGCGTGCATTTCGGATTGTGAGGGTGATTTTTACTTCCCGGCTGCCCACACCGTGGAAGTTGGTTGCGTGACCGCAGAGCCCAGGGGACAACTGCTTGAGGCCGGTCACACACGGTCTGTTTTTGTTTGTTGTTTTTCATTTGGTGTGTCTCAGTAGCGTATTTATCACTTCTGCCCTGTGACAGGGCAGCAGGAGGCGCGGTCGTTGTTAATCCGGGCCCCGACCGATCCGGCATGATATTTTGTGATTTATTTGGAGTCATAGGATTGGATTGGGTAGCTGCTTTTTGTCTAACCGCTATCCAAAGAACCTTTCTGACATGGTAGGGCCTCAAGCGACATAAGTCTCAGCCAGTATAGCTTGTTGGGTCATTGCGGTGTTCAAGCCCGACCACCACGTCAAGGTAGCAGCTTTCGGTCGGGCTCAACCTGTTGTGGATTGTTCATCTCATTATTTAGAATCCTAGGGTTCCTAGAGCTGTGAAGACTAATTAAAGTGTTTCACTTCTGTACCAAGTTGCAGTGATCAAATCTTAACTTAACTACAGGTTTCACAGGAAAGGTATATACAATAGCCAAGTCTAATTTCAGTTATGTATATTTATACGGGATCATCATTCTCATTTCTTTTAATGTTAACCTAACAGGCTTTCTGAAACACTTGTTATTATACTTATAAAATTATTCAGTTTCAGTTTATTGAATATATATCGATGATATATTTGTCGTATTTGGAAATGAAAACCAAACGAAGGGTCCACGTTTCACTTTTGTGTACCGAAACGAATATAAAGATCTAGACTGAAGTTTCAATCGCGACGGTGTTCTTGTCCACGGGGAAGTTCGCTGAAGCCTGTTTGGTGGGAAGCATTCTGCTATTGAATCAACGAGGCGATAAATCTTCTTAAAGTATTCAATTCAGTTCATCGTAGATGTGCTTGTGAAAGTAACTCTAGCTGACCTCAGAGACTTTTCACCAGAGGGGACAGTCATGTCGGCTTAGAGTAGGCAGGTGATGTAGTGTTCTTCTGGGAGAAGACGGTGACAAAGTGCAAGAGTCTTCTGGACATTTTAGGCAGATATCTCAGTATTATTAGCATGCAATTACCCCTTTAGCCGTTTGTAGGTTGATACTGCAGGACTGGTTTCTAGTACTTTTAATCCCTTTTAAAGCTTTAAAGCCCAGTGTTCCCCTCGAAACGCAAAAGTAATGCATAGAAACTTAGTGTTACTCCTAGTTATGTCTATCCACCTTTATTTGTACTTGGAGTAGTGGTAGTATGTGTGTGAGAAAAGCAAGGGGATGTTAGTCCTTGTGAAAGAAAATCTCTGAAGATGTGCCTAAAAGTCTGTCTATTAAGAAAGGTAGAGGACTAAATTAGCACCAGAATTTTTGTCGAAGACATTTTCGGTACAAGTCAGATAAAAACGTTAACTATAAACTGAAAACATTTCTTTCCCGTAGTAAATTTAAAACAAGTAACAACCGTGAGAGAAGCAGTATATAATTAATTCATAAATTCTGTAGAAGAACTCATAAGCTGAGTACTCCTCTACAAACGTTATTGATACAATTATTTTAAGGTTCAATGCATACATACACATGGACTTTGTGACAACAAGGAAATACAAACCATAAATATTGTTTCGATTGTGAAGTTCTGGTTCCTCATTGTTGTCTAGACGCTTGGCTCTCAACAATTGGTGGTGGGTTGCGAATTCAAACCTCTTTCCACCTAATGAGCAAGGTTTGGTCAGTCAGGTAGTTGTTGCACTAATAGCCAGTGATTGTTATCGTTGAGTTAAACTTTTATTAAAAAGCATTTCGGTGGTTTACAAGTCACATTTCTTCCTTATTGTTATCTATTTTCTTTTTTTTTTCATAGGTGAATTCTTGCCTGATCACCCAATATATCACAAAATCGTTGAACACGTCAAAGACTATTCTTGTTAGTACAGATTTTAAAGAGGATATTTGCTTTAGTGATACTCAAATAATTTGTGATTGTTTAAAAAATATACAAACGGCATAAAAAAACTTAAAGTCGATTTGCCTTTTTTTAATTCGAAATTGGACTGTTGAGTATAAATGGATGTATGTAAGATATCCTCCTATTATTACAGTTGGTTTGTGAGAAAAAAGTAAAGATTAAAACCTAGGCAAGTATCTGAATTGAGACAGGAATCCGACTAGCAGATGTTTCACAGCAGTTGCACCAGCTTTAATGAACCGATCGCATCTACCAACTTGTATCATCTCTGGTTTAGACGTGATATCCTGCTATTGATGGAACGAAGTGATGTACTGCATCTCAGTTTCATCTGTTCTTCTTTATAGCTGTGGGAAGTGGTCGTTGATATGCAAGATATGACGAGGTTAGGTGTCTTTGGCCAACTACAGATGTTTGTATTCAGTCTCACGTGTTAAAGGCATAATATTGTGAGTAATATTCAGGTCGGACGTGTAGTTTTATTTAGGAGGGGAATCCGGTCAATGAGATTATGGTGAACCGATTGAGGTTATTGAAGGACGTTTTATACATACCACGGCGTCGCCTTCCTCGCTGAGGGAGAGAGATACAATTATGTAAAGGTGGTCAAATCAAGACGTGGCATGAATTCATTAAAGTTTGACTGTTGGTTTGAGCTGAAGAAGAGGTGTATACTTACTGGGGTTCTCCAGCACGTTAAAAACAACCCGATCCATTATATTCTGACTTCTCTCCATGTAAATACTCTTTTTCGAATAATAGAGGCTTTCGGTTGAGGTAGACAATATCAGTGTAGTTGCGTTCTCTGAGTTTGGTGCTTTAATGTTAAATCTTTCATTGTCCTTCGGGAAAATGTCTTCAGTGCCGATTTCAGCATTATCCTGTGCTAACCACAGTTCTTTTTTATTGGAGTTTATTCTGTAATTGGGTCAAATGTCTGATTTTCCAACAGGATTCGAAACAGCTGTTCTTGTAGTACACACACTGATCTAGACCCAGTCACTTAGTCAGTAGTTTTAAGTAACTAGTGTCCTTGCGTGTTTATGCTATTTTATTCAGTCAGCCTTATCCTTCACATGAAATAAGTTTGTGCTGGGCATCCAGGCCGAACCAGGGAGCTGTCTTGAGAGAACAAACCTCGAGCTTTCGACGTGAAGTCCGGTCCGTGATTCATTGCTGTTGCGTTCCTATTTTTGCCGGTGACAAAGACAGGTTTAAGTGTCATTCGACACTTAAGGATTCTACAACCCATGTACACCATAGGTCTGGCATCAGAGTTTCTTAGCTCCTCTAGGCGGACTTGTAGGTCAGCCAGCCAGATTCTATGCGCCAGACGCTCTCACTCGCCTTCGTAAGGGACGCCCTCGGTGGTTGAAATCAGTGTAAAACACTTAATTGGCGGTGGCTATGGACTTGACGCCGCATGAAGATCATTTTGAGAGGAAGACTGAGGTCTACCCTCTCTTGGCCGTACTAGGTCGTTTTAAGTGGAGGCATCTCATCCTTATAACAACAATCGGCTGCCTGTTTTTTTCTACTAATTTCAGAATTTTTTTAATTGACTAAAAATACCCATTGAGTCAGTAAGAAAACAAAAGAATTCAGCGAGGACAATTCTCTTTATTTACTAAGAATGTATAGTAGTCCATTACTGAGTAATAGGGTTATACAAGTAGTTGAGGTTGGCCACATTGCAACCTGACTGATAGAAATCAGTCCGCACCAAAGAAACAACTAGACACTTCACACTAGTTACTAGTGTCCAATCATAGTTGAGGGTCCACTTATCAGGCATGAAGATGGTAAGAAAACGTACAAAAAAGGAACACGTGAAAGTGATAATAGTGAATTATTAAAGTAAAAGCAAACTAAATTACGTTGCTTGAGTTCACTTATTGCTCGAGAATTGAGCTAGTAACCGTCGTGCATTGCCCTCTTGCTAACTATGTCGGGCAATGTTCAGTGATGCGTTTGAAAAGTGTGCACTTTGTGCGGTCAATGTAACTATGTCCACACAAGCGGGTGAATTTCTAAGCACATATTGAAGTGGCCCAAAGCTGCAGCTTATTTTTTTACACATCCATTGATCTTTTGCCGGCTGTAGAAACTGATCCGTATCTCACCTGCGGTATCACCTTTAAACGCGACGTTCATAAATAGCAGTTTCTCTAGCACCATCTGGGTTCTTTCAGGTTTTTGCTTTAACTTCATGTTTTTCTTGATGAATCTTGGAGGATATCCATTTTCCATGAGGACTTGTCTGAGTCGCTCCAGTTCGCCGTCGATTGTATCAGTGGAACATATCCTTATTCTTGAGGATAAGGACTGGATTAGGTTTCTCTTTCTTCTCAAAGGTACCCAACTATGAAAATTCGTGTACTGACCATTCAATGTTGGTTTCCTGTAGCTCCATTTTTGACAAGAACCATCAGATTTCTTTTGAAGAAATCATCCAAAACATGGCAGCTGTTGAACTCCCTTAGTTATCATTTCGATGTTGGTATTCTCGTCACCTATGATGAAACTATAATCCATGTATCTTTGGTAAATATGGGAACTATCGATAGTGGTTCGTAACATACTATTCTCTAGACTTGCCAAGAAACAGTCTGCAAGTAAAGGACCCAATGCTGAACACACTGCCACTCCCACTCTTTGTCTACAAAGCTTGTTGTTCAACTTAACTGGACATTACAAGTGCACCTCAATAGTAGTTCCTTCAAGTAGTGAAACGGAACACCCACGTCTACATAATTATCCTCAATGATTTTGCATATAAAACAAATAATTTCAGCGGGAGGAATATTAGTGAAAACGGATGTAGCATCCATGGGTATCATTTTTTTCGTGGGATACATTAGCATCACTTATTGAACAGACGAATTCAAATAAATGAGAAACACTTTGCCGACAGATTATTTCCGATAGGTAGGGGGATGTCTGCGAGCCATTTGGCAGTAGCATGATATGGGGAATTTGTTATATCCAAGATTGGACGTAGTGGTACGTTCTCTTTGTGCACTTTCGGTAGACGATATAACTACTATGAATCAATAAAGACAGTTTAAAGGAAACAAAAACGCTATCAGATGTGCGAAATAGTTATTCCTTGTATAAGTATGTGTATATTAGACGTACCTGATACAGAGCTGGTTTACAAAAGAAATAAACGTAGTCACAACATGACCTGGCGTCAGTCCATAAAGACCTTGAAGTTGGGATTAAAGCCATCCACATGAGCAGATCTAGAATAAAACGACGGTTGGAGTCTACCAAGTGTGCAGAACCAATGAATGGAAAACATTGGTGATATTGCTAAAACTCCTTCTGCATTGCTCAGATGCATTCATTCCTTGTCATCTCCCCTATATCCATTAAACCGCCATCTTTCTCCATCTCACTACTCCTTCTCTCGCACAGTACATTTGTGCTTATTTCAGTTCTCTTCAATCTGGCGTTTTGCTTTATCTCCTTCTCTTTTCGCTCTACATCTGTCGGCTACATGGAGTGTGGCAGGTAGAAGTGCTGCACTTCTGTGCAAATCTCCACCTTCAAACTCAGTCAGTCAGCTGAGCTGCTTTCCGTCATCAGGCACTTGACGTGTTGCATCCTCATATTCACATAGCTGTTGAATGAGGTTAATGCAGGTTTAGGTGACTACTTCGTAGTGTTTGTTGAAGCAGTTTCCAAATCACTTCATGCTCAACGCTGTGTGAGGCCTTTCCAAATTCGATGAAGTTGAGGTGGAGAGTTGACAGGCATTCTATCCTGCGTTCCATGCTGCTGCTGCTGTTCATGAGGTGATGATGATGTTGGCGACGATGAATCGAAGCTTTGCAATTTGATCCTCAAATGATTTGCTTTGCCCGAATCCAGCTTGTTGCAGTCGGACTTTTGCATGACGAGTATCTTTCAGTCTCTGTCTCTCCAGTATGAAGCGAATCAATATTCTTAGTTTGCTCTTATATATATATATAAATTGCTTTCTTCGTTCATAAATTAAATTAATTTGAATTTTCTTCACTGTCGTTTCGTTTGTAATAATATCTGTCCGATTGCCTTTTATTTATGCGTTGATTATCTGCATGGGTTTTTCAGAACTTTTGGTTTACCCTTATATGTGTTCGAAAATCTGCCCATGGGATGAGGAAAATGAAGGTTGGTGTTTCCATGGAAGGATGAGGACTGCAGCGTTCAGGACGAAATTAATTTGAACCTTTGCAGCCCCATTTTCTACTGGGAATCCAAAAGAACAATATTAATAAAATTTTACGCTTGCTGCACTTATGTAGATTCGAAGCTCTACCTATATATTAAAGGCAACCTATTCTATCCATTCCAAACCCTTTTGTTAAATTCCTTTCTCTGTATTTCATTCTACTTTTCCATCGCACTTTTAATTTTTTTTAATAACATTCGATCGACCGAGTTTGAACGTAAAGATTTGCACAGAAGTGCAGCACTTCTACCTGCCACACTCCATGTAGCCGACAGATGTAGAGCGAAAAGAGAAGGAGATAAAGCAAAACGCCAGATTGAAGAGAACTGAAATAAGCACAAATGTACTGTGCGAGAGAAGGAGTAGTGAGATGGAGAAAGATGGCGGTTTAATGGATATAGGGGAGATGACAAGGAATGAATGCATCTGAGCAATGCAGAAGGAGTTTTAGCCATATCATCAATAGTCTCGAGCCATTGCTTCTTAGCACCCGAACGACGAGTCGAACAGTCTGAGTGAGGAAGCCTTCGAAATGAAGACAGGAGTAAGACAAGACTGACTACTAAGTAACCAACATGATGAATGATATTCGTGATTGTGGTGGACTGGATGATGTGGGAGAACGTGAGTGGGGAGCGAGAAGAGCTGCACACCTTGGACCGACTAGGAGACACTGAGTCACCTGGACTTCGCGGATAATTTATGTCTAATGTGACTCGAACATCTACAGGTGGAAAGCAACAAGTGTGTGTGTAGAAGAGTTGGCGAAGTCCTGTGTTTTAATGCGGAAATTGGATATATGTTTTACGATGTATATTGAATTCCATATTTGTAGGCTCTTATGTTTTTGTGTTACATATTCTTGGGTCAGGCGAAATTTTTTATCGGTCCCTGTTTATGTACACTATATTTATTTTATTGAGTTACTTTCTATCGAGGCTGTTTCTCCTCCTCTATACTTGGTTCCAGTTGTTTATTTACCTCAATATCTGAAAATAAACTCTATGTGTTGTCATTCGTACTACTTTTTAATGATTCGGAAGTCAGTTTCATTGCTTTCTTCTCCTGTCACCCAGGATTCATTTGCAAATGATTATTCATCAGTTAACTAATTAGTTGTCAACTCTCTCGATTTCACAAGATAATAAACAGTGTCATTTCTGTTAGTAACTTACAATCAACACTGACTGTTGTTGTAAATTTAACACGGTATAAATTTTGCGACTTCACAATAAGAAGAGACCTCTTTACTTCTGACTTATGTTTTCATAATAGTAATAATAGTGTAATTAATAATTCTCTAATCATACACCTTATGACATGAATTTTATCATCTGATTTACAAAACAAATACAAAAACATAAATATTGTATGATTCTTTGTTGTAGTCATAATAATTTCGTTGTAGAAAAAATATGTAATATATATATATATATACTTTTTGTCATGGTTATAGATGTATAAATATATATGATGTGAATTTGCCCATGATTCTCAAGATTAGAATATTTTTCATCAAAATAACCGGCATGCTTCGTTAGTTTGTGTTCGTCTGATGAGAGAGTATATATATATATATATATGTGTGTAGCTGTGATGGCAGAGGTATGCTTTAATCCATTCATACTCTACAAAATATTGTCTTCTTCAGTTGATATGTTTGTTTTGTAATGATTATCAAGCTGTGTGTGTTACACGTCAGGGGAGGCGTGAGTGAATAAATGCAAACATACTAGGGTAGAATATGTATAATCCTTATTCTTATTCTTCGATTTCATGCTTGATCAGATGGTGTTAGTACAATTTCATTGGGTAGAATTACAACCTCTTCAATGGTGTTGCTTGGAATTGGTTCAATTGTTAAAACAGCTAGTCCATCTTTACTCTGTTCACCTGCTTCACCTGTTCTCTTCTCTGTTCACCAACTTCTCCTGCTTCTTCTCTTCCTCCGTTGTCAGCTGATATATCATCACCTTCGTTATGTATGTAAGCTGGATTTGTCATCGACGCTACTGTTGTGTGTGCTGTCATAGTTTCTCCATTGTGTTTGGGTCTTATTATCCCTCGTCGACATTTAAATATATTACGAAATATCTCTTTTCTCAGTGCCTGAGCTGCGTAATGTTGTGTATCACCAGCATGTGGAAGAAATATGCTGAATATAAAGCCAAGTAGGGCAAGCGTAGAGAATATTAATACAGCACCCAGGGCTGATACATTCTGTAGAAATACTTGACCTAAATATGGTGAGGTTAGAACACCGATACGAAAACATGTTGACATGACACCGAATACAAAACTACGTATACGTGGTATATATAATCCAGTGATGTAGATTGCTGTAGCATTATTCCCTGCAGAAGCTACAGCACGTGTAGTGAAGAAGAAGAACCGTAGAACTTTCGAGGGCATACAGAAGGCCTTTTTTGAAGAAGAAAAAGAAGTAGAAAAGGAACAACAAAATGGTTAGGCACTTGTAAACAGTTTGACATAACAAAAAAGAAAGAAAAGCATGACGTACGCATCAACAGCTAGTGCTTGCCATTTAGCCAGCCAGTTAGCCATATTGAAGTGATCTAAACACCGGACGACCGTTCCTCTGTTCGTTTAAGGCCAAGCTCATAAGTGGTGTACCCTGTTCTTGGCTAAGCTCACAAAGAGCCGAATCAGTTCATATCACCCGAATTCTGGTTTGCTAGCTAGCTACTTATGTGCACTCAAAATACACTGAAAAAGATTCACAATTTACAAATTAATTCGCGATTTGCAATCTACATTATCCAAGATGAGATTTCACTGCAGTTTCCTTTGGGCACTGAACTTATTCAGACAAATTTAACATCATTTATACCTTGAAATTTAACAATTTCAGGAAATAGAACACTGTATCGATCAAGGCTAACGACATTTCCTTCGTCGAATCCAAGAACTCAAAGCAGTGGTAAAAAGGCACGACATGTGTTCCTTCATATCAATAGATAGTACTCAGATCAATCTGTACTGAACATACATGTGGCTATAGATCAAATAACATGACTAAAATGCTAGCAACTCTAGGGTGAATGAAACGACCCATACCTCTACAACTTGATAAAGAAAATCAATCCGAATCAAGGATATCAAGAAATGAAGATTATTTCATTTATAGAAAGTTTTAAAGCCTCACTTCATTTTGAAGATGTTGGCTGGAAAAAGAATTAAATCTTCTCACCTAACTCAGAGAATACAAAAATCGCAAATGGCGAAGGACAACATCACGTCATTTTAAGACTATCATTAATGTCCCGTCCTATCGTACGACTGTGTTTTACTGCACACAGTGTTATAACTTAGCTTTGCCCTAGATTTCCTTCCTCAGTGTAGGTTCTTCCAGTCTAGATTTCTATTAGTTTTTCTGGTCTGTCATTAATGATCCTAGTCTACTAATCTGGTCGATGTATTCGACCTTACCCCTAGGTGTTTGACAGACAATAATAATAGTGTTATGACCTTTACTACCACATAACCAAAATCACTGAGAGTGGTTATCCGATAAATACATCTTAAGTTATTAGACGGATAGTTGGAGGCTTTTGCAGGAAGCGCCTACCCTGGGCCAAGGTTTCATGCTCACTGGCACTGGTCAACAAGGAACTAATGTACCCTCTTAGAGATTTAAACCTGTCATCTAGTGGTGCTATCAGAGAAACTACCACTGAGCTCATCAAGCTCATAATTGACCTCCAGTAGACTTCAGTGGAAACACTGACTGGTCACTAGGGTGCTGATGGTTTATCGACTAATTTATTTCCGCAGAATGATTAACAGAAAAGAAACAAAAGACTTATTTTTTCAATTCAATTATTTAACTTACTTCAATGAATATAAGTAAAGCAGTTAAAAAGAAACACGTATTAATTGTCCATTTTCGTCCAATAGTCATAATTAAAGTTAACGCTATAGGGAAACTAAGTACACTGCCAATCATTGAAGATAATAATGAGATATAACCCTCCTCAGTTAACGGTAGACAACAGTCTTCATTGCGTATCCCAGAGTTTCCATCCACACTATTCGGTAATTGGGTTACACCATTATATATCGACTAAAATAGGGTAGGGAGAGAGACAAAAATGTAAAGAATGGAGAGTAATAATTAGATTAACACTGTCTAGCTTTAATGAGATACATCATAAATAAAACTGAAGTTAACTTTTATAATGGCCGTCACGACAATCTGAAAGCTTCAGTGAAGATTTGGACTCGAACCGAGAGTTATCAGTTAGGGAATCAATAAAAACCGAGGAGTAGTGGACAATTGTTTCGTCAAAGGTGTGAATATATGAAATAATAATAGTATGAAATCATCAGGCCCAACCTTTATATATATACGCATATATATATATAACTTTACAAATAAATTTTAATAAATAAATATAAATCACGGTGATTTGTCAATACAATGATAACAGTGTGCATATAAATTGAGCAATTAATAATAATAATGATTCTATCAATAATGAAGATGAAAAGGTGAGTCAATCTGTGATAACAACATGAAACTAACAAATGTGTTCATATGGATGTAATAGTCGGTAAAGGCTAAGAGAAACAATTAGTTTAATTATTAAATAAACTATGTTTTAATGAAGATGTTGAAATACCAAGGGATGATAAGAAAATTGGACGGTAGACTACATACTCCAAGAAATTACGGGAAGTCAGATGGACTTGAGAATTCCTCTTTCTACTCTCAAAGAACTAATCCTTAAATGCATGATGAATGTATTGTGATGTAGTCGTGTTTTCTGAGTTTCATTCAGCTCTGTGTCAGCCAAAAGACTTAACAGCGAAAGAAGACAAAACCAACATCATCCACAAAATAAATGGCAACGACTCAGATAAACACTACATTGGCCAAAGTGGACACCTGCTTCGTCTTTGCATCCATGAACATAATATAGCCGTAAAAAGACATGATATCCACTCCCTCGCTCATATCGCTGCATACAGACAACCATGGACATCAATTCGACTGGGACAACGTTTAAATATTAGACAGAGGAAACACCAAGAATGCCAGAGAAATTTTAGAAGCCTGGTATTCTAGTGAATCAGGAATTAACAGGCACATTGACATAGATAAAATTTACCAATCGATAAGACGGAAATCTCTCACACACAGAGGGTGAAACTTCAGGTCAAGGAAACAATGAATACCAATAGAAGTAGCCTAGAGGGTGTGAAAACAGGCAAGAACAGCCATTCACGTTCAACGTCACCAGGAGAGATGACTGATAAACTGGTGGAGCAATCTAAAAGCTCACTTCAAATTGAAGTATGCACTGAAGATGTTGTCTGGTAGGTCAATGAAAGCTTCGCAAATAAACCATCAAGCTCAGATAACACAACTGCATGAAAACCATCCACCTCAGCTACAAATCTCCATTATATGATGAACGTATATTTTGTCTTTTTTTATTACAGCTTGATGCCACACCGTATTTTCAGTACAAGTATGGAATTTTCAGCATGAATATCGGTAGCCCAAATTTTGCAGGCCGACCATAGATATCGGGTGTGTGTCGGTAGGGGATCGAACCCCGGACCATGTGCATGGTCGGCGAGCGTCCTAACCACTGTGCCACCGACGCACACATATTATTGACAAGTAGATGGAATCGCTATAGGCCCGATCTTAGCAGACTTTAATTTTTAATCCATTAATCTTTGATATACAAGAATAGAACATCGGCAATGGGGTACAGTATAACTCCATCACAGAGCAATTTTATCTGGTTAAATCACACAGTTTTATTTACTAATGACGAAGTCGTGCGAGTGGCTTGAATTTTAATCCTCTCAATTTTTTCGTTTTGTTAACTTTTTTTTTCATAAGTGTGGTCATAATTTTAAGCTGTATTATGACTGTTAATTTTGTATTTCCCCTCACTATACTATATCAACAGAACATTAGACCCAATAATCTATAACATGCTAAAGTTTCCAAACTGAATCTACAATACCGTTTGAAACAAACTCACTGTTATTAGTATTTATTATTATTATTATATCTAATAATTATGTCGTCAATGTGGACAAATTCCTCCGATTAATTTTGTTTTAATTTTATATACATTTTTGAGTAAATCAGATGCAATATTGTGACAAATACTGAGAATTCCATTCTGTATTATAAGTAGTGCTGTTTTTGGAATAAAGTAGATTATTATTATTAATCATTATATTATTACTGTTTCCTTTAATTCTTAGAGAAACATAGGACCTCAGCCGCACGTCTCTATTACGTTCGGTTCCCTGCCAACGTTTTCACCTGGCTCCACGTCTGCCCACATGCTTTCATCTCCTCTTTACGTTATGTAACATTATGTCACCCTTGGAAGACCAACTCACCCCTTCCCACTCGGGTTCTACTGGAAAGCCTATCGTGTGATGTCACTTGATGGTTTTCTCAGAGTATGGCCAATCCACCTGCATTTCTTCCTGCACATCTGTTGCACAGTTGGTTCCTGGTGGGTTGGTTCGCTCCCAGAGATCCCTCACTATTGTTGATCTTTTCTGGCCATCTGATCTTGAGTAATGAGCGAATAATTAGCTTGAATAATAATCAGCAATAAATTGTGCTCGAAAAATCACTGTGTGATTTTATCCAATAAATCTACTCTATGATGGAATCCCTTAATCCTATCACATCTTCATCAAAACATAGTTTATTTACTTCCCTTACAATCCAGCATTACTTCATCGGACCATTTGTTAAATCTAAGCCTTTATCTACATATTCAGTCTATCTATCTGAATATTTGTTTGTTTAGTCATGCTGCTTCCCAGTATTCGTGTTATCACACATCGGTCCAATTCTACAACTTTGTTATTGATAGAATCATTATGATTATCAATTGCTCAATTTATATGCACACTATTGTCATTCTATTGACAAATTACCGTGATTGGTTTATATATAATAGCATTTATTTGTAAAATTATGTTGGCAAATTACAGTAAAGCTTGATGCGATTTCATTGAAAACATGTATTGTTCTAATTCTTACTATGAGAATATTTAATATTTTGAAATTCTGTCTAATCTTATCTAATTCTTATCTTGTCACATAATGTTTTGTATTTTTTTTTCTTCAGTAATTCTGGTAATTTCCTCTTCCATGTTCTATAAAGTATAAATGCGGGACAATGGTGATAGCTCCTGATAATAGATTCTTATGATTTGAGGAAGGATAAGTTGACAAGTCACTTCAACTTTGTTAGCAGTGCCAAGTGAATGGCTAGTGATAAATAGTATACTACAGGATTACTACCTCCTGACTGATGCACACCACTCGTCATTCAACAGGCGCGGTTTTTACAACCTTAAACTGACTTGTAAATTTGCCTTCCCCACATCGTATTACATATACATTACTGAAGCTTGATACTGAAATATGACCAGAATCACAAATATATTATTGCAATGGTGATAATAATAATACTAGTAATGTATATATACGTTGTTTGGATTTTCTAATGGCATATAGTTTCATGAGTATCATATATATTTACACGGTTGTATGCAGCTTGTTGTCCAACATCCCAGCCTTTCACATATTTGTATGTATTAAATATACCCATAGTAAAATTTAGAACAACACATTTAAGTGAACAATATTGTTTTCAATTAGATCTCATCAGGCTTAACGCTAATATACATAACTTTACAAATAGAAACCAATCATGGTGTTTTGTCTACAGGATAATAAGATGGTGAATATAAACTGTGCAATTAGTCATAGTAGTAGTAATGATAATAATAATAGTACTACTACTAATAATAATAATAATGGTTTTATCAATAATAAGGATGAAAAAGTGAGGCAATCTGTGATAACATGAATAATGAAAAACAGCATGATTAAACGAACAAATGTTCAGGTAGACATAGTAGTCGATAAAGGCTAGGAAAAACAAACGAAGCGATTAAGTAATACCAGGTTGTAAGGGAAATAAATGAAATACGTAAGATGTGATAAGATTAAGGGATGATAAGAGAGGGGTTGAAAATAAAAGTGAGGGGTGGTGTATAAGTCATCATTTGATTATGTCTTCATAGGCCATTTAGCAATTCAACTACACCTGCGGTGACAGTTATGTTGGGCGTACTACTAGCCAACGTGTTGGTGAACATCTCCCATCTTGCGTGGTTTGGCAGAGGACAGACAAAAATAATCCGTAACTCAATTTTGTCACATTTAGTTGATAGTGGTCATGTAGTGGAGAAAACGAGAGCTTTCAAAGTAATTCATAGTATCCCACCGAATCTTTCCAATAGACTTGATATTTGTCTACAGTTGAGGCGATAGGCATTCGAACGATTAAACCTAAATTATGCATTCAAAAGGAGTTCGCACAACTATTGTCCCTCCCTTAGCCAATTAAGACCCAAACAACTGATGATGTCACCACCACCCCTTACTTATATTTTCAACCCCTCTCTTATCATCCCTTAATCTTATCACATCTTCATTAAAAACGTGTTTCATTTATTTCCCTTACAATCTGGTATTACTTAATCGCTTCATTTGTTTTTCCTAGCCTTTATCGACTACTATGTCTACCTGAACATTTGTTCGTTTAATCATGCTGTTTTTCATTATTCATGTTATCACAGATTGTCTCACTTTTTCATCCTTATTATTGATAAAACCATTATTATTATTATTATTATTATTATTATTATGATTACTACTACTATGACTAATTGCACAGTTTATATTCACCATCTTATTATCCTGTAGACAAAACACCATGATTGGTTTATATTTGAATTTCTATTTGTAAAGTTATGTATATTAGCGTTAAGCCTGATGAGATCTAATTGAAAACAATATTGTTCACTTAAATGTGTTGTTCTATATTTGTGATACACAAATTGTAAAAGTTTTATTTATAGATGTAAAGTGGATTTTTTTCCAAACATAAAAACACGTTTTTAAAATGTTCTTCTCGTTTCACTATGAAATGTATCACTTAAATTTCGAAAAATTATGCTGATAACGCTACAAAAGTTCATAACTTAACATCTGTGTCAAAA